GTCACAAAAAGAGTGCGTGGACTTTGCGTCACGAGTTGAACGCCATTTGACCTTGTTGAAGCCTGTGCAAATGTCACCTCCGTGAGGCCGGCACAGAGTGGAGGACAGGCGCTCGTTTCATGACCATCCTTCCAGGGGTCCTCAAAAGTAGACATTTTTGGAAGAAAGTAGGCGTTACGTCCCTTGCAAGATTTGAGTCTTTTTTATTTTGGCGGTGCTGGGATTTGAACTCAGGGCTCTGCGCTTCCCAGGCAGGCGCTTTCTATGACTTGAGCCATTTTGCTTTAGCGATTTCTCGGATAGGGTCTCCTATTTTTTCCCTAGACGGTGTCCTTCTCTTACATTTCCCATGAAGCTGAGGTGACAGGCGTCCACTGCTGTGCCAGTCTTATTGGTTGAGATGGGGTCTTGTGACTGTCTTTCTCAGCTGGGCCTCAAACCTTGATCCTCCCAACCTCTGCCTCCCAAGGGCTGGGCTTGCAGGTGTGAGCCACCACGCTGGTCTTTTGACGAGATGAAGACCCTTCCTGATCTGAGCCTCCCGCTTGGCGTCAAGAGCTGGGGTCTGCTGCCTGTGTAAGGTGACAAGTGACAAGGAAACGGCCGCAGACCCTCAAGCTGCCATCTTCTGTGATTTATTTCTGTTGGAACAGGGTTCTGAATGTTTGCAGCCAGAGAACAGCTCAGCCGCGTAGAGAGAAACAGGACGGCGGGAAACCAGCTGCCGTCAAGGTCAAAGTCACACAGCCCAACACGTACCTGGCCCGGGAAACCGTGAGCTCTGGTGACAATCATGTCACTTCTGTGACCCTTTGCGGGGTCCCTGGGCTGCTCTGGGGGCCCCAGGGTCACCGCGGTTGGTTCTTGGGGCACACGGGGCCGTGAGGGGAACCGCTATGGGCTGGGCGTGGTGGTGCACCCCTGTAATCCCAGCCCTCAGGGGACTGAGGCGGGAGGATCGCGAGTTCGAGGTCAACCTGGGCTACAGAGGGAGACCCCATCTGAACAGCAGTCGCTATGCAGCCAGGGGAAGGACTTCTGAGGTGAGTGGGCACCATGGGGGACTTAGCGGCTCCCGCGGCGTTTGCGATCTACAAACCCGTCGAGCTCATGCAGCATCGGTTTTTTGAGACGGGAACTCGAGGTCCTCATGCTTCGCCTCCCGAGGGCTGGGATTACAGGTGTGTGCAACCTTGCCCGGCCAAAGAAGTATGACCTGAACCCAATTTTTCTCTTCAGTTCTGACCTCTCCCCAGATCTGATTGCCCTCTTGACATTTTCACCAAAATGTGTTCTCAGACTTCTGTCCAAACGGGTTCTTCGTCCACCGCAAAATTCACCCTTCATTCCCTCCTTCCTTCCATTTGCAGTACCAGGATTTGAACTCAGGGCCTTGCACTTGCTAGGCAGGTGCACTAAGCCACATCCCCTGTCCTTTGATTTTAGTTTATTTTTCAGATAGGGTTTCACACTTGTGCCCAAGTTGGGCTCCAATCTTGATCCTCCCATCTCTGCCTCCACAGTAGCTGGGATTACAGGTGTGCACAACCATGCCAGTCCCTTCACCAGCACTTTTCTTGTGTCTCTGTTTGCCTGTGATGGACAAATGGATTCACACTGGAGTCAGTTCACTGACTTTCTAACTCGCTGTTGTCTTTCTGGAATTGTCCCGGCTTCCTGAAGGCTCCTGTGTCAAATGCTTGGTCCCAGCTGGTGGCGCTGCTGGGAGGTGCCTGGCCCAACCCATGGATTCAGAGCTGGATGGACTAAGCGGGGTGTCCCCAGGCTCTCCCTCTCTGCTTCCCTGCCGCCATGATCCTTCTGCCCCCCGGAGCCCTCAGCCGTGGAACCAGCTGGACATGGACTGAAACCAGGAGCCAGGACAACTTTTTTCTCTCTCAAATTGCCTGCCTCAGGTGTTTTGTCACAGCTCCGAAAGCTAACTACCACACGTCCCTACAGTAGCCCGTTGACAGAGTGAACGGGGACACCTGTCCTCCACAAAGGAGATGCCACCCGTCCCCCACCTTCCACACGATGACAGCTGGTGCTGGCGTCCGAGGCTGTGAAGGACCCGGCCTTCGTCCCCATCAGCAGAGTCCTGGCCCCAGGCTGCTGCGTCTTAGCTGCAATTTTATGACTTTTTGATTCATTAATCATTGATCAGTCAACTGGTTTCCATGGCAATCCTTAACCGACTGGAATCTCAGTCATCCAGGACGCACCGCAGCTTCTCTGCTGGAGACCCCAGCTCACCGCCAAGTGCTTCAGCCTCAAGCAAAGAGGAGAGTCCGCCGGGGAGGCTGGAGGTGAAGGGACCTCGGTGGACGGCATGCGCGACTCCTGTGTCTGCTTTTATGTCAGGTGGGTCAAGTACCCACCAGGACAATCCAAAGGAGAGTTGGGGTCTCCCTACCTCTCAGCAGTGCTGGGATTCGAACTCAGGGCCTCACGCTTGCTAGGCAGGCGCTCTACCACCTGAGCCACGCCTGCAGTACCTTTTCTTTTTTTCGGTTTTGCAGGTCAGGTCTTGCACCTTCAGCCTGGGCCAGCCTCAGACAGCCTGTGTCCCCCAGGTAGCTGGGATTATAGGTGTGGCCACCAGGCCCCTCTCGTCCCTAGGTTAGGTCAGCAATGAGCATTTTGGCCCCGTGTTCTGGGCTCCACTCTCCTGGTTGCAGCGGAAGTTGGGGCTCAGCAGGGCTCCTGTGGGAGGCGTGTGGGGGACCGGGACAGTCAGCCCAGCGCCTGGCCAGCATGCGGAATGCAGAGCCTCATGGCAGCTTTGAGCGGGCAGAGCTGCCGGCCGGGTCGCAGCCTGAAGGAGATTTGGAACGATCTGTCTCCACCTGGCCTCGGCACGCTGGACTCTGGCCTGATTTCACGCTTACCCCAACACTAATGGTCTCTAGTCCACCAAGTCGTGACTCAACACTGGTAATGGACGCCAAGCCAGGTGTGGGGGGCATTCCTGTAATCCCAGCGACTCAGGGGCTGGAGGCAGGACGATCAAGAGCTCAACGCTGGCCCGGGCAAAGCTAGAGGCAAGAGCGTCTCAAAACCAAAATACGAACAGAAGGGGGTGGAGCACCTTCCTAGCAAGCGTGAGGACCCGAGTTCAAATCCCAGTGCGAGGATGGAAGGGAGGAATGAAAAGGAGAAGGAAGGAAAGGAGAGAGGGAGAGAGAGAGCGAGGGAGGGTGGAACTCGGTCTGGGTTGGGTTACAATTCACATTGAACCTCAGTAGAGCACACCTGGAATTCGGTGTCAGGCGGCCCCAATATTTGACCCCACTCCCTCGCTCCAGGGGAGGGGGAAGTGACACCCACAGCTGCCATTACAGCTATCAAAGCGGACAGTGGGCACCCCGACGGGGCTCTGGGAGGACCCCGAGCTGTCTGACCCCCAGAGTCAGAGACCAGAGCCAGCGGTGAGTGGGGATGAGTGGGGGCAAGGGACTCAGCTTCAGAGCCACGAGCTGTGCCTGTCACCAGCTGTAGGACCGAGAGCCACTTGCATTGCCTGTGGATCCCCCTAGAACTGGATCGGCTCTTTTGGGGGGAATGAGATGCTGTGTGGACCACCTGCACAGGGAGCAGCGGCTCAGGGGTTTCTGGCTAAGCTGACCTCCGGGTGGAGAAGATGCTGGGGACAGGCTGGGGACAGGGAGCCTGAGCAGAGCCCAGGGCCTGGTGTTGAGGGGGGAGGGGGCACCTGGACCCCAGGCTGGTGCTCCGGGTGGAGGCCCGGGATCAGTGCAGGCAAACATGGCAGCCGGGCCTGCGCCAGCCCCAGCTCCCTCAGCCCGACAGCGTGTGCACGTGTGTGCGTGCTCATGTGTGCGTGTGCACATGTGTGTGCGTGCTCGTGTGCACGTTTGTGTGCACATAAAACAAAGCCCACAGAGCCGTCCAGTGCACTTTAATCAAAATTCCGTCATGACAAGAACTCCCGTGGCGCGATGTCAGGACAGGCATGTCAACTTGGTCCTATGAATGGAACTTCGAGCTTCACTTTGAACAGGTATGAAAAATAAAATCTGTTAATTGTTCGCTTTATAAATTTCTCCCACCGCCTCGCTTTCTCTTTAAAATAAATTGCAATGGAGGAAGCAGCCTGGCTTGCTAAGCCACAGGACATCACTTTCTTAAAAGCTCTGGGTGAGGGACAAGGGGGAGCAGGGGGACACTCGATGGGGACCATCAGGTGCTCACAGGAGTCAACATGGAGGAAGGCAGGCAAGCCATCAAATAAAGGGGGCCTCAGATGGTGGCTTCTTTTCTGTGGTGGAAAAGTAAGTCCCCACGCACAGGGGACAGCTGTCAGAGCTGTACATGGACCTTTGGCACCAGCAGAGAACAGTGGACTTGCAGAACCAGCCTAGAGATGATTCCGCCACAGCGTGGGTCCTGAGGGGGGTGGCACAGGGCTGGGGATGGGTCGGTCGTCCCCATGATGCTGGGGATGCCCCCCTCTGCTCTGGGGGAGGCAGGGCTCCTCTGGGAAGCCATCCGTCTGTCCACCAGCTACGACTTCCTCAGATGGAGGAACACGGGACACACAGGATGGACCCCTGGCAAATGGGTCTGGTCTGCTGTTTACAACAAAACAGCAGGCCACAAGGGACACAGCCACCCCAGCAGGACAGGTGCACAGACATCACAGGGGACAGACAAGGTACACACAGGACACCAAGGACCGGAGAGGGCAGGCAGGGTCACACTAGCGCTTACAGGGGGTCAGGGTGGGGAAGAGGGGCTCTGGACATCGATCCACACCCCTCCCCAAGAAGGGAGTCAGCTGTTCCCACACTTGAGGCTTGGGGCTTCTTCCCAGGGTGGCTGGCACTGCCCCCATAAAGCCACAAAATCTTGGAAAGGAACAAAGCTGGGGATGGTGGCTGCCACACAGCCTCAGTCTTAGAAATCCCCAGAATGGGGTCCGACACACCCACCCACGGGGGCGAGAGGCGTCACGGGGCTCCACAGGAGAGGAGGTGGCCTTGAACTCCCCCCAGCAGACCAGACGGACCCCGGCCTCCCGGCCTCTCTGCAAAGGCGACTACAAGTCCAGGAGCCGTTCCTCGCACGTCTCCACGGGCCACTTGGCAGCTCCTCCGAACACGTCCACGTTGTTGTCCACCCAGGGGACGATGTTGCCCGGCATGTTTGTGGAGCAGTTGGCCATGTTGACGATTTCCTGGGCGCGCAGGACGCGATCCCAAATGTTGAACTGGCTGAGCTCCCCGACGAAGGCCTGCGTGGCGTCAAACCTTCCCCCCACGGTGTCCTGGGTCATGGGAACAGGACAGGCTCACAAGCACACTCACCTGCTGGGGGACACTTTCCCTACGCTCCCCCACTCTGGCCACGTCTGACCACACAGTCTGTAAGTCCTGAAGGCCCAGGGCGACAGCTTTGCCCAAACCACCCGTTTCCTCCAGGAGAAACTGCCCCCCACCTAGAAGGCCAGTGTCCCTCCTCCCGTCACCCCCACAGGCTCAGCACCCCAGGAGTGTCCTAAGTGTCTCTTGCCTGGATCCTGAGCAAGAAGCTCTGGCAGGCTTCCTGTGCCAGCCAGGGCCAAACGCCTGGACTGATACAGGGACCCCTGATGTCCTCCCCACCAGCCTGAGTCACACCACCACCCTGTGACCACAGGGACACTCCTGCCCGTCAGACTATGTGGGCACCTGTCCAAATCATCACACCAGCCTGGTCCCTGCCACGCTGGCCACGGCCCCACACCTGCCCTGAGCCCACATGACAGCCTGGATTGTCCAGCTGGCCGTCAGCCACAGTGGCTGGGCCTGGGGCAGGCAGTGCCCCTCGAACGACCCCCCAGGAGGCACCCACCTGCTCCTGCCCGAGGATGAGCACGCCGCCCGGCTTGATGGGGTGCCAGGGGGCCAAGCTGTCGCCGGTGCCCAGCTTCTCCCCGTCCTGGAATGCTTCCCACAAGCCATCCCGTGTCGTCCAGGTGACACAGACGTGATGCCACTTGCCATCACTGACGAACAGAGGCAGCTGTGCCACCTGCGGGTGGTGACACGCTGGTGAGCATGTGCCGGGTCCCAACACCACGGGGTGGAAGCCCAGGACAGGAAGTGGAAGGCCACCTGGGGTCCCTGCCATGTGTGTGACACAGACGGAAGGATGAGGCAACCTTGGCACAGCCCAGCGTCAACTGGACGCCTTGGGCCCTCCCTCCCTTGCTGGCCTGAGTGTTCTGTGCAGAACCTAAAGTGCCGCTGGCTCCACCCGGCCATGGCTTACGATCTGTCCTCAGGCAGCCCCAAACTGCTGTGGGGGTCAGTGGGCACCGCCTGTGCGTGTCGTGTGCGTGTGCGGGCCGTGTGCACACAGCGGTCTGCAGACGCTACGAGGTGCTCAAGGTTGTTACTCCTGGTCTCCTAGCAACCGGAAACCGCCCTCCCAGGAGGGCCGTGTTTACAAGAGGTCCAAGCTGAGTCCTGCCCAGGGTGTTGTTTAGAACAATTAATCCTTGGCTCAGGGAAGAAGTGGCTGCTGGAAGGAGCCAGAGAGCTCCCGACTTAAACAAACGCCACCGAGAGCCCAGCCGAGCAGAGAGAAGCGGAGCAAGGAGCAGGGCCCCACTCACCCACTCCGATGGCAGGATGACTTCTGTTAGGGAGAGTCTGACTGCTGAAGTTTTTTGTTTTTTGTTTTTTGTTTTTTGTGAGACTGGGGTTTGAACTCAGGGCCTCAGACTCATAAAGCAGGCGCTCTACCGCTTGAGCCACAGCTCCAGCCCTTTTTGCTCTGCTTATTTTGGAGATGGGTCTTACAGTCCTATCCTATGCTTCCCGCAGAGGCTGGGATGACAGGCACAAGCCACTGTGCCTGACTATTGGTTGAGATGGGGTCTCATGGGCATTTTTTTTGCCCAGGTTGGCCTTGAGCTGTGATCCTCCCAATCTCAGCCCCCCAGGTAGCCAGGATTACAGGCTTGAGTGCGGGTGCCCAGTGGGTTTTGTTTGTTTGTTGGCAGTACTGGGGTTTGAACTCAGGGTCCTGCGCTTGCTAGGCAGGTGCTCTACCACTTGAACCACGTCCCCAGCTCTTTTTCTTTTTTTTTGAAAAGGGGTCTCTCCCAGGCTAGTCTCCAACTCACAATCCTCCTGCCTCAGCCTCCAGAGTGCTGGGATTATACGCAGGAACCACCAAGCTCAGCCAGAAGGAAGATTGTGAAGTGGGGCTGCTGGAGGGTCCGGGAGGCCCACAGCTGACCTGAGGGGGCCACGGTGCCGAGTGCCTGTTAGACTGTAGGTCTAGGGGACAGGCTGGCAGTTGCCATGGCTGGGCAGGAATGGCACAGGAGTTGACGGTGAGGCGAGTGGGGTAATGTGCGTGTGCAGCTGTGTGGTGGGGAGGTGGGGGACGGACAGAAGTGTCTATATTTTTATTCTGGTGGTGGTTGCTACACAACTACATTCATTTGTCAAGACTGGTTGAAATGTACATTTAAAACAAAAAGGTAAATTTGAGGCCAGACTTGGAGGTACACACCTATAATCCCAGTACTTGGGAGTCTGAGGCAGGAGGACTGTGAGTTCAAGGCAACCTGGACTACATAGCAATACCCTGTCTCAAAACCCCAAATTCCAAACAAGGAGGCAGGGCAGTAAATTTCACTGTACATAAATTTATATCTCAATAAACTTGACCCCATAAAAGAGACATGGCCATAAGAAGTCTCTTCCCTAAGACAGAGACGACAGACCTGGGAGGGACAATGCTGGCTGCCCCCCTCCTCCTCTGCTGCCCCTTGGCCAGACTCAGCGTGGACCTCCACAGGCTGCAGCTGTCCCCATCCTGCCCCCCAGGGTGGGACCGACACAGGGCAAAGCCCTCCCCCCACGAGGAGGGCAGCCACACAGACACACGGCTGTGCCGTCCAGGTGCGTCCCCCCGGGTAGACAGGCCTCACCTTGTCGTTGATGAGCAGCTCGATGGGGTTGTTACCCCACTCGATCAGCACGATCTCGTTGGCCTGGCCGGGCACGGCGTAGGAGAATGGGGTGCCGATGCCGGGCGAGGCGCTGGAGCGCAGCCACAGGCAGATGGTAAAGGCGTACAGCTCGGGCAGCGTCTTCTTGACCTTGCCGTACAGGTAGTTGGTGCGGAGCGGGAGGGCCACTTTGAACGCATCTGGAGACTTGAACGCGCTGTTGCCTGCGGGCGGGAGACACGGCTCCTGCAACTTAGGCCCCTCACTCAGGCAGACCCCAGGGCGACTGGACACCTGCTCCGAGCCACTGCTGCTCAAGGAACCGTCCTCGCCTTGTGGGAGCGTCCGTTTTGGTGGCAGCAACAGTAAAGGGTTAGGCGGGGGTTCTGCTCAGAGGAGGAAGGACGGAGTGAAGAATGAGGAAGACTTGTAACTGGAAACTCCAGACAGAGGTACCACAAAGAGACGCCAGAAAGGACAGGGGGAAGGAATATTTTCCGGGCAATCGCTGGACATGTTAGAAGTTTGAGCTGTGTCCTTTAGGACAGGAAAAGAGACCTCTTTAAATCCAGAGGAGGCCAGGCATAGTGGTGCACTTCCATAATCCCAGCTACATGGGAGGCATAGGTAGGAGGATCTCTGTCTAAGACTGGTCCTGGGCAAAAGCATGAGACCCTGTCTGAAAAATACCTAAAGCAAAAAGGTTTCTGAGGCGGGGCAGGGGTGGCTCAAGTGGTAGAGCACCTGCCTAGCAAGCGTGAGGCACAGAGTTCAAACCCCAGAATGTCAAAAAATATATATATATATGGGAAAATCCAGAATCCAAAGCTCTGGTATCTTTTTACTAATCCTCCCTGCTCTCACAGTCAGACCTGAGGGCTGAAGCCTGAGGGAGGGAGTGGAGACAGGGCGGACTGAACTCTGTTTCTCTCACGTCCAGCTCGGGCTTTCTTCTGCCAGCGCCTGTCCAGGGATCCACAGGGACTCGGGCTTGGAGAAGTGGACTCACAGGGACTCAGTGCTCCGTGACACTTGCGGGTGAGTGACCCTGCAGCACTGTCACACTAGCAGTAAGAAGCAGACACGTGTACAGGTGTCACCCCCACACCTGCCAGAGCCTTGGGCCTTCCAGAACTTTCCAGGACTGGTGGGGAACCTCCCAGGGCCACGGCACTTCCAAAATCCTTGAAAACGAACACTTAAGTAGACAAGAAACTTCCAGTGCAGTCTTTGATTTAAAAAAATTTTTTTGACAGTACTGAGTTTTGAACTCAGGGCCTGGCACTTGCCAGGCAGGCATGCTACCACTGGAGCCACGTCTCCAGCTCTTTTGCTTTGAGGTTTTTTTTTTTCCAGATAGGGTCTTGTGCTAACTTCGCCTCAGGCCAAGACCCTACTGCCTTCACCTCCCAAGTAGCTAGGATCACAAGCAGGTGCTACCACACTCAGCTGTGTTGGAGATGGGATCTTGCTAACTTTTTGCCCAGGCTGGCCTCAAACTGCAACCCTCCTATCTCTGCCTCCTGCATAAGCTGGAATTACAGACGTGAACCATTGAGCCTGGCCTCCACTGTAGTTTTGATTTAAGCTCAAAATTAATTCGCTACAACAGCTCCTGTGCAGTATCACAGATTCCAAAGTTTATAGGAAAACACTTAGTTCTATGAGCTGTCATGCTGAACGCTTTCCTCTTTTTTGGGGCCAGATCTTGTCAGTGAAGGATCCCAAACCCCCTCCACTTACTCCACAAGCACTCGTCAAGCACCCACACTAGCTCTATCAATCGTGGAATTACAGGTCTAGACAGTCAGATTACCTTTCTCCTCCACAATGACGTCACTTCCCACCTGAGCAGCCCTATGTGAGGAGAGGAGGACCTGCTGCCCTTCCCGCCTCTCTGGGCTTCCCGGCTAGCTTCTGCTTAGGTTGTGCAGTCTTCCTGACTCATTCTGACCTCCTCCTGCAGGGCACCGCTCAATACCGGCGGCAGAGCTACTAGGCGTCTGTCAAGGACTAAAAAGACCCAGGCACCTGGGAAATCAAGGGGCCAGGCCAAAGTAAAGGCAGGGGTTGACCCCATGAAGCTGAAGAGAAACAAAGAGTCTAGGTGTGGTGGTTTCCCACCTGTAATCGCACCTAAGAGAGAGGCTTAAGTAGGAGGACTGAGGTTTAAGGCTAGCTCCCGGGAAAAAGTGTGAGAACCTACCTGAAGAGTAACTAAACCAAAGGACTGGGGGAGTGGCAAAAGCGTTAAGACTGCCTGCCTAGTAAGTGCAAGGCCCTGAGTTCAAATCCCAGTACTGCCAAAAATAAATAAAACAAACAAAAATAAGTAAAACAAACAGAAACAAGCCAGGTATGGTGGTACATGCCTGTAATCCCAGCTACCTGGGAGGGGGAAATAGGAGGATCTTGAGTTTGAGGCCAGCCTGGGCAAAGGTAGTGAGATCCTATCTCGAAAACAAGCCAGGTGTGCTGGCAGACGCCATTAAGCCCAGCTACTCAGAAGTTGCCGAGTTGGGAGGATCACAGTCTAAGGCTGTCTGGGGCAAAAAACCCCACAAGATCCTATCTGAAAATCAAACTAAAAGCAAAAAGAGCTGGGGCAGGGGGGATGGTGTAGCTGAAGTGGTAGAGCATCTGCCTAGCAAGTGCAAGGCCCTGAGTTCAAAACCCAGTACCACAAAGGCAAGGAAGGAAGGAGGAAGAAGGCGGGGAAGGAAGGAAAAAGAGAAAGCATGAGAGAGAGAAGAAAGGAAGAAGAAAAACAAACAGAAAGCCTCACTCCCTGATCTTGCAAGAAGCACAGACGTGGTGCGGAGGCTCAGAGGCATGAGGTGATTTATCCAAGGTCACACAGCGAGTGAACAGCGAGGCAGGGACCAGAAGTCCCTCCTCCTGCTCTCTGTGGCCACGGGTGCCTCATCCTCAAGTAGCAAATGGTTGTGTCCCTAATGGAGCCATCGTGATCTAATAGAGAGAGACGGCTCCTAGACTTGCAGGTGGCCAGGCCCGCCAATTTCATAAGGCTCGGTGTCAGTAACATCGTTAGCTGGCGACAACAGATCGGCTTAATGACAGCTTGAAGGCTGAGAGCTGGCCTTATTTGAACAGAACAGCTTGGGGTTCAGAGGAAACTTAGTTAAAACCAATTAAGGAATGAAAAGGGCTGACCAATAAATCAGGCCCCGCAGGTGGCGGACAAGGCTCGGGCGGGTTCAGGGCGGGCAGCCGGGGCCAGGATCGAGGAGGCCTGGCCCTCTCACTGCCAGCACTGCTTTTGCTCCAGCTGGCCCAGGCTCGGGTCGCACAGTGAAGACAGATGGGTGTCCTGGAGCCCCGGGGGACCGAGCATGCAGGGGTCGGTGCGGCCCTGCCTGCTGAGTGCTGGAAGGTTCCCTTTCTTCTCTGGGGCCACCACCACCAACCTCAGTGCCAGCTCTGCAGTGGACTCTGGTATCACTGGCCACAGAGCTACTGTCCCAGTCACAGAAAGGAGCGTGGAGCCCTCAGCTAGGCTGGCCCAGGTCCGGAGGCGCCCCACCTCCACACGCTGCCTGGTTGAGGCCGACTGCGCCTCCTCTGGGCGCGGGTGGGTACTTCCAAGAACGGGGTGGGCTTCCCACTCGTGGACACGAGCGGGCTGGGGGGTGTGCAGCCCTCTGCAGCGCTCACAGCACCAGGGACAGAAACACAGAACTGCCCAGAAAGCAATCTTCCCGAGACTTCCCAGAACTGAGCTGGGGGACACAGGAAGGATCCCAGAATCCTCACGGGGGTCAAAGGGCAGCAGAAGCTAAGCTGCGTCTGAGCAGAGCTCTGGGAACACCACCCCCACCCCCACCCCAGGCCAGAGAAGCTGCGGCTTTCCAGTGAGGACGAAGGACCAAGTTCTGTGAAATGGGTACAACAGAAACCTGCTCTCCAAGAGGCACAGAGGTCAGCCGGGCACTACACCACGCTAGTCAATGACTTTCATTAACACAGCAGTTTGGCCACTGTGCCAGGTGACGTAGGCAGCCCTCATTGTCACTGTCAGAGCCATCCTCTGGCTGTACAGTGACCCCTTTCCTATCCCATAGTGCCGAATGTCCTGAGGAGTCATGGCAGTGGGGGCTGGGTGGAGGCACCCACTCTCGCTAGATGCCACCCCCACCCTGTCCAGTGACAAAGGCTCCCACTGCCACAGCTGCTCTGAGACCCAAGGAGTCTCCTGACATCCCCCCGAAGCAGAGAAGAGGCCGAGAAGAGTCCTTGAGGAAATCCGGGGATCCAGGTCAAACAGAGGAGCCACACTCTCCCTTCATTGTCCGAGACGGGCAGGGGAGACATGATAGACTTAGGACAGGGACACAGGTGACCTGTGGCCCCTGTCCTTCTCTGCCTGTCCCTCCTCAGTCAGTCATTACCATGCAATGGACCGACTGCTGTTGGACCTTGTCCTATCAATGCATGAAACTGACTCATCAGAAATCTCGTGCCTCTTACCAGCACACCGAAAGTGTCACATGCAGGCCACCCAGCAACTTGAAGGCTGAAGATACAATCCAAATTATCTAGGGCCCTCTCTGTCTCCCGTAGGAGGAACTGACCCACTGGTGTGAGCTGGGAAGAGAAAGAAACACAGAACCTACTGCAAGAATTGATTAAGAGGGGACTGGAATGACACAGGCAGGAGGATGGCTGTCATTCAAGCCATCTGAGTTCATCTCCTTTTCCACAGGTGATAGTGGGGTGGGGAGGCTCATTCAGAGATGACCATCTGTCTGTCACCTTTATTATCTGCACAACAGTCCATGAAAAGGAAGTCCTGGATCTGCCCCCAAGTGGTGACAAGCACGCCACTCCCAGGCAGAGACACAGCAGGCATACCTCGCTCCAGCTCAGTCACCCTCTGCAGCAAGGCGTTCAGGGTGCTCTCGGTCTTCTGCCGGTGAGCCGAAGTCTCGTTGTGGAGCAGGGACTTCTCATCCTCGAGCTCGGCCACCTTGCGCAGCAGCTGTCGCTCCAACTCCCCCAGCCGCCTCTGGAGCACCTCTCGAAAGTCACCTGCCAGCCCTGCGTTGGACGCGTTGGTGCGAAGCTGGAGCTTTGGGTGGGGGGAGGAGGGAGAGGGAGTCAGGCTGGTTGAATAGAAATGGTGACACGCAGCAGCCGGATGGCCCGACCACACAGGGAGACGCTTCCCAAACTCAGCCTTGAACTGTGTCAGTGGCTTGGAAGGGAACGTTTTACAGCTGCCTTTTTGTTTTGAAGGGAAAGGATTTCAAAGTCAGGCCAGGATTACTTGACTGCAGTATTTGAAACTTGTGAATTCAACCTCACCCTCTTCAAAAGCTGCTGCTTTTTCTCCTCTTACTAAAATTTTAGCCAAGCTGTAATTCTGTGTCAGAAAAAGACCAAAACACAGAGAGGATTTTTTTATGGAGTTAATCAATGGTACTTGAGCTTTTATCTGGAATGGTACACCCCGAATTACAGACCGGCTCAGATCAGTGTGTGTGCAGAGACATACTGGAAAACGACAGCGAGAAACACTGTATCCTAGAGCCCAGAAATCTTGGGTTTTAATGCTGTTCCTAAATCCTTGGTTTTTTTCCTGCTCTGAGCCCAGGGCGACCCCTTGACTCCTTTCTACATCCAAGAGTTTTAAGTCATCAACTGCAGAAAATAATCGGTCTCCCGCCATTCACTGTCGCAAGGGTTAAAATTAAATAGTGTGTATGCCTGACTCATGTTCTGTGCTCGAGAAATGTTAGCAGTTAGTAATCCATGACTCATGGGATGTACAGATGCTAGAAATACTGTATTTAGCTGTCACGCCAAAAGACACCCTCCAATAATCTAGCAGCTTTTACCACCTGTAATTTAAACCTACTTTTGCTAATGGGTATTTTGAAAAAAATCGCTCTTCACAGCAAATGTCCACACTTCTTCAACAGGGTGGGAACAAAAGACGAAAATTCATCGAAGATTTTTCTGTCCAAGTTCCAAAACTGCACCTTCTCCCAAGAAGAGAGCAGGGTGACGTCCCCTCCCCCAAAGCAACTGGAAAGGACACCTCAAAATGGTCCAACTCGGTGGAGAGAAAGAGAGGCGACTTTGAAGTTAACCAAGAGATTTACTCTGATGTGCCTTGTGGGGTGACCAGTGACACCCCCTTCCCAACCTTGCGCTCTCCTCCCACTGATGGACCTTAACCTCTTAGGATCCAGCCTGACCTGGTTTATAAAGGCAAACACCAGATGCCCCAGGGCATCCTAGTTACAGCAGATTTTGGAGATTTGCAGCAAAAAATAAATAAATTAATTAATTAAAATACAGAGATCCCACCACCATCCCTGGCCCCTGGGGGTTTTGCGCACGGCTTGGTCACCGCGCGCTGGCTTAGCGAGGACCTCGGGTGGGGCAGGGGATGGCATGGGGATTTAACCCTTCCTGCCAACTAGGGGATGAGCAATGCGAATAAGGTGCGGAGCACCGCGATCCTGGCACCCCTCCAAGTCCAGCTCACCCCACGGACCCAGCCAGAGCCCAGGGGAGGACGTCACCCCAAGGTTCCCCGCGCGCGCCGCTACCTCCAGGTTCTCCAGACGGTCCTTGAGGGTCTGCAGCGAGCGGCTGAGCTGCTCCACGACGTGGCCAGGGTCCCGTGGCAGGTCGCCCATGGTGTCCTTGCCCGAGCCCCGCGCCTTGCCCCCCGCCAGCCCCTCGCAGCGCGCCAGCTTGCCCGTGAGCTCGCGGATGGCGTCGCGCTGCGCGCCCAGCGTCTCCTTCTGCTGCACGACGGTCTCGCGCAGCTGCAGCACCGCGGCGCGCAGCTCCTCCTCGGGGCTCAGCGCGCCGCCCTGCATGGGCATGGCGGGCAGCGGGCAGCCGGCCAGGGCCACCTCTGGGGACAGCGCGGTGCACACGAAGCGACTGCCAGGCACCGGCTTCTCCTGAGCCCCGGCGGTTACGGCGAGCGCCACACTGACAGCCAGCAGTGCCAGCATCTTGCCGTCGCCGCGCTCACTTGGGCATCGGCGGGCGCACCGTCGGGGCGCGCAGAGCTGGTGGTGGCGCCGCCCGCAGGCCCCCCGCTGCCCCCTCCACCGCGCGCCGCGCTCTGCCGCGGCTCGGCCCGCGCGCCCTTTCTTAAGCCGAGGGGGCGGGGTCAGCTGCGCGTGGAGCGCGCGCCGCAGGCTCTTATTGGCCAGGCTGGGTGCGCGTCACGTAAGGGGCGTGGCTGAGTGTCGGGGGGAGGGGGACGTTTCTAGCTGCTCCCCCGGCAGCGGGGCGGACGTGTGGGCTGCAGCCTGAGACACGAGCGCGGGTCCCCAGAAACGGAGGATGGATGTCCAAAATGGGCTTTGGGGGAGCGTCCTCTTCCCTTCCCCTCAAATGCGGGCCAAGAAGTGGGGAGCCCCCCCACGCACACTCTCTCCAGGGTGGCTGCAGGCTTCCGGGGGCGTTGTCACTCCCCTCAAGTCCCAAGGAGGGACTCGAACCTGGGCCGCCGACGCGAGCCACCTGCGTGGCAGACGTGGGAGTTCCAGCTCTGGAGGCGGGAAGATGCTGTACTACGGATGCGACAGTTCCAGGACTGTCTTCCATGTCCCCAACCCTCTGGTCCAAGAGGCTGGGGACATGTCACAGGCCCTTGGGGACCAGGACCGGGCGCCCGATGTCACCTTGGAGGAGGGGACACCCGCGCGGACCGGGGCCACCTGTGCGTGTCCAGTGACAGCCCGATAGGCAGGGATTTGTAATGGGGGAGCACAGTGTCCACTGAGATCAGTTTGAGGCCACTGTCCCCAGATTCTTGGAGACAGCAGATAATGGACCGGGAACCCCCCCAAAAGGAGAGGAGCAAATCTGTGCCAAAACCTCTTCCATGGGGCGAATCTGATATGCACAGCTGGGCTGGCTGGCTGTGCGCTCAAAATGGAACTCTAATTTTTTTCTGTTTTTTAAAAATAAATCCTGTTACAAGGTCATTAATCACATTATCCATTGTACCAGAAACAAATGGATTTGTCACTTGGGCTCTGGAAGCCTGAGTTTGATTCAGGGGGAAAACAAATTGCATCAAAATAAATGAAATTATTATGATAATATAAAACAGACCACAGTGATTAATCTCTGGAAACCAAATTCTGACCTGCTTTGCACTTCAAACAATAGCTTCTGTTATGTAAATAGTCGTGGGCTTTTCAAGGACAATGTTTTGAAATTATAACAAAAGTTCTATTCGTGGAAATGTCTTCAAGGATGAAAACAAGAGACAGAAAACCTGGTTCACAGGACATCCAAAGCTGAGGAGGATGGAGGGGAGGATGAGCAGGTAAGATTTTTCCTTAGTGAGAGAGGAGGTGATTGGGAGATGGGGGGCGTAATGGGCCAATGTCTCTCTCTGTTGACCTCCATCACCAAGAAGTTTCTCCTTGACAGCATGACCTTAAAGTAGACTCATCCTTCCTTTAATCCTTTTTCTTCCTGAAAACTCCCAAAGTTTAAAGAAACCCACATTGACACAAGTTCAAAGATGAAAGAAACAAGATTTCAAAGCACTTTATTAGCCAGGTGCTGGTGGAACACGCCTGTAATCCCAGCTACTCAGGAGGCAGAGATCAGAGGATTGTGGCTCGAAGCCAGCCCTGTGAGACCCTATCTCGAAAAATACCCATCACAAAAAAGGGCTGGTGGAGTGGCTCAAGGTGTAGGTCCAGAGTTCAAACCCCGGTACTGCGAAAAAAAAAAAAAGCACTTTATTATATGGTCCGTTCTAGATTGATTCCACAGGGTACCAAATCCAGATTTGCTCAGAATTATCCCGACAGGGGTGTGACTTCTTAAATATCCCACTCATAGATCCAGCATCCTTTGGCTGCTAGAGCGAGGTAGATCTTAATTGGATGTGGTGATAGGTTATCATCATTCCTATGCAGCCCCTTCATGACACACTAATAATCCACATTTGCAACCACTTGAAATAGAGGCTTGTTCTTTTAATAATTAAATAAACCAAGTGTATTTCCAGAATTCTAATTTACACCAAACAAAGAAGACGATGTACAAGAGGACATTAAAAATAGCATAGATCCCAAAATAATTGCTCTTAAATTTCTTAAGAAGAGATTCCAGTATGGGGAGTGATTAGCGAAATTACCAAAACCCAGATGGAAAGACCCAGGCATCGGAGTTACAGGGAATGTGCGATGGAGGGTTTTTATTTTATCTTTTATCTTGAGACATGGAACATTCTGCTGGTTTAAGAACGAGTTCCAGTCCCACCGTCAAGTACTACCAGCTCAGTCCTTGGGTGAAAGCCATTTCTCCTCTCTGAACTTTCATTGTATTGGAAAACAGGCCTGATTCTCTAGCAGGAGAATTCTCTAGAATTCTCCAGAGTCTTCCAGATTCTCTTTCTGGCTTGGTAGTTTGGGAAAGGAGGAATCCCTGGTCCATGTGACATATGGTCCGTGTAACATATATGGTTTGGTACAAGCACCAGGGAAACCACACAGGTTGTGCCCTACCTAGCTGTGGCTGAAACCTGCTGGCTGTCAACAACAACATCCCTGATCGACACTCACTTGATGGACACACCAAAGCACGGCCACTTTGTCCACCTTGGAAGACCCTGCACGCCTGACTCATGCTCCCCAACCAGGATGGTCGTGCGAGTGGTGGAGGCCAGGCCCACAGATTTGCCTCCACTTGTCAGAGTCGTGCCTGAATCTCTGCCACCGAGCCTCTTCGTGGGAGCCTTGTCACAGCAGAGTAACCGCCACTCATTCACTGTGGTCTGCTGGGCCCAGGTCACCTGAGAGCCCGGGATGGACTTTATCCGTGTGCTGGGAAATCCTGGTGAGCTCCTCCCGCCTCCGCGTCACCACCCCATCTGTTGGTGTTCTCTTTCTCCTCACGTGCATTTTTATCCTGGTCTTCTGGAAAATGTGTTAATTTCCACCGTGGTGACAGAGCATCCCATCTTAGACTTTTTTTTTTTTACATTTCCTCCTCTCTCGGGGCCATCAGGGAAGCCAAGGATGGGGGCGTGAGCTCAATAACACAGGATCCAAAGACAGCTTCCTGCAAGAATGACGGAGGAGCTGTCTTCAGTGCTGAAACGCAGCTTGAAGGGGAAATGAGTGTGAGTGCCTGTGTGTGTAGTATTAAGGCGCACATACAACAGAATTTGGAGGCTCCAAAGATTCCGGATTAATCTCCTTCTATGCATAAAATGCTAGGACCCTTTCAAGGGTGGACTTTTGAGGGGGGTGTGGTTGCACGTGCCTGTAATCCCAGCTACTCAGGAGGCTGAGATAGGAAGATCTCCTTTGGAGGCCAGCCCCGGGCAGAAAGTATGAAACCCTATCTCAAACTGAAGCACAAGGGGCTGAAGACGTTGCTCACGTGGCGAAGGGCTCACGCAGAATCCCCAGTTCCACAAAAGGAAAAAAAAGGATTTTGTACTAGACCCGGTGAAGGGGAAAGTTTTAGCTCTGGAGTGACAAGGCTCTGTTTCTGTTCCGTTGTATACTTGCTGTTTGACCTTGAGAGACTAGCTTGACCTCTCTGAGCCTCATTTTCCTCAACTCTGAAATTAAGGCTATGTTTACTACCAAGTATTGTTTCTGGGCTCCAGCGAGAGACTGTGAACCTGTTTACAGTAGGCACACAATAGATGCTAATTGTTCTTCTTTTCCCTGAATTATTGTCCTATTAAAATTTTATTTTATTTTTTGGCAGTATTGGGGTTTGAACTCAGGGCCTCACACTTGCTAGGCAGGTGCTCTGCCCCTTGAGCCATGCCCCCACCAGCCCATTCTTTTTGTGTTGGCTAATTTTGAGATGGAGTCTCACTTTATACCCAGGCTAGCCTGGACCAAGATCTTCCTATTTGTGCCTCCCCTATGGCTGGGATGACAGGCACACACCACTGTGCCCAACCATTGGTTGAAATGGGGTCTTTTTGTCTGGGCTGGCCTTAAACCCTGATCCTCCCAATATCTGCTACCCTAGTAGCTGGATTATAGGCTTGAGTCACTATGCCTAGCCCTAATTTAAATTTTATTTAAATATATTTTTATTTTCTACAATATCCTTCAGTACTAAGTGAGACGAGAATCTTGAGAAAGAATAACAAGGGATGAGAACTTTGGGGAAATTTACTGGTCTCTCAGCAAGAAGAAGATGTGCTATGCCGGGCCTGATGGTTCACAGCTGTAATCCCGGGTACTCGGATGCAGAGGTAGGAGCAGCTGGGGTTACAGGTGTGCTGCACCACGCCCACTCTCAGCTCAAGTTTCCCAAATGTAAAGGACTGTGAGCTGGGGGTGGAAGGTGGCTGGAAGGAAGCTGTCGATGAAGGTGGCTTTCTTGACAACAACGCAGACTCTGTTTCTCTGTGTTAGAAACACCAAGAGAGAGCCTCGCTCTTGTGTCAGCTACATGTCGCAAAGCTGGCCTAATTCTGGTAAAGATTTGCTGCTCGGTTCCTCCTGGCCGTCGGACACAGGGTTGCTTGCTGGAATCTCTGATAGTGAGGGTTGGAAGAGATTATCCAGAGTTTTGAAGAGTAGGAAACAGTTTAAGAGAGGTGAAAGGTCATAGGGCAACCTAACAGCACAGGTCCAAGGTGGAACTCAGGCCTCTGAGCCCCAGTGAAGCTTGTTCCCTCCTGACCTCTCCCTCCCTCCATCCTCCCTCCCCTCCTCCCTCCCCTCCCTCCTCCCTCTCTTCCTGTATCTTCTTTCACCACCCATATCCTCAGCACTCATGTCCACAGTCAAGCTGTCTGTCACGCTGTCCTTCCTCTCCCTGTCTGTCTCCTTCACCAGTTCTGTGCTTGTAAGTTGTGCTAGTGACGTCCCCCGTCTGGAGTGGTTCTCAGAACATACTAAGCCAGTCTCACGTTGGGCCAGGGTTCACCGCCAGCACTTCCAACCCAAGGCGTCGGCATCTTAGCTGCTCAGAAACTCCGGGTTCCCTTGTGAGGACTGAGGAAGGCCTCAGTGTCCTTTCTGCCCCTGTCCCACGCAGCCCTGGGTCCCACCAC